TCCTGACCCCAAATGACACCTTATTCTACAAATGTCGACTTCCCCTAATTGCACCCTGACAGGGAGAGAGGAAAACCCCTCCTTTCCTCTCCAAGGACTGTCATTTAATTAGCAGACAGGTATCTCTCAGGATTTACAGGCCAGCTCTAAGCTGCTACTCTCTCTGCTCAGTAGCTGAGGCCTGTGAAGGCTCATTCCATTTATCTGTGCATTTCTGCATTTTTGCTAATCTCACTATGCAAGAGATTTACCTCTTGGATTTACCTCTCATGGACCATGGAGAGAGCAGTTAATCAAATGAACAGTCCCCATCTCACGTCTCATTCCCTTCCTGGTTCCTGATCTCAGATGTCTGTGTTGTAGATGACTTCATAAGCAGAGCAGTACCTATGCTGACATCGTCACCAGTTTCTAGTTTAATCCAACTCTCATATCTGTCCTACAGACATGACCAGAGATAGCACAGATGAAAGAGAGATCAGAATCAAAGACATCGAGGCTGGCTGGATATCAAGAAGCATTTAATTTGTTCCTCCTTCACAAACTGGGATCATCTCTCTGCAACCTGTTCTTGACATATGTTTTCTAACAGGTTCTTAAATAAAATCCAGTACTGGAGGTTCCCACAAATCCCAAGCAATCTTTCCCAGTGCTTCTTGCCCTCCTGTTAGATGTCTGAGAGCAAGGGGGAGAACAGTGTTGAAAGGCCTTCTTGTACATCTTGCCCAGAACAGAGATTCTGGTGCTTGGGGCCATACCACCTGTCCTGCTGATCATGAGGAGAAGACTGGTTTTACTTTGGTTGTGATTGTTGTTTTTATCGTGGGTGAAGAGGTAAATAATGGTTTCTGTCCCTCCCAACTGTTTTTGTGGGGCATGCCAGATCTAGTAAAGTCTGAAGAAAACTAGTATATTACTGAAGGTTAGTGACTGAGGGTCAAATCCAAACCCCTGGATTTTGTTCCATGGATCAGCAATCTCTGAGTAAACAGACATATTTTGAGAGTTCAGCTTGGAGATGATCTGATCATTTCAGACCAAATGAGGATAACAACAACCAAATGAGTGCTGAGGGAGCTATATGTGCAGGGAAGCACTCATGCCCTCACCTTTGACTCCACACCAGAAAGATCAGTGCTGCCATGGGATTGTCCATGCAAATTTCCACTGGTATCTCTGTCTTGGCAAATTGCTATCTAAATCCCTTACTGACTAGGTAGAGAGGAGAGCACACAAAACAGCGGGGCAGTTGCTGACTGCTTGTCTGATTTTAGTCACACCTCTGCAGAGTTGGTGACTTCTCCAGCTTTGAGACTCCACAGTGCCAGAGGAAGTGTCCTGCTGAGCACCTCCAGTGACAGTGGCAGTGTAAAGAGGCCTCTGGGACAAGAGTCACTGGCTACCCAATGGATGTGAGACACCCAAGTATAACTGAAGTGCAAACTGGCAGGAACTACAGAGGAGCTCTGTTTCAGCACACCTGCTCTTCAGTAAGTACCTTGTCTTTAAAACCTCTGCTCCTCTGCTAGTGAAAGAAAAACTTGGGGGTCAAGCTGGAGGAAGAAACAACTGGAATTAATACTATTACTGAAGGACCTATGGTATCACATTCTGCTAGCTATGGCTGCCCAGCCTGTTACAAAAAAATGTACAGACATCATCTTACATTAGCTGAAAAAAACAAGTGTGGTAGAACTGAGTGCACCTAATGTCCTGACCTTTCCCCATGACTGAGAATTTCTTAGTTCCTAAATCTTTCCTGCCCACCCACAGGCTAGGTAACAAAAGAGGAAAAGGGCTCTACTGCAGAGGAGGAGACACTGAATTGCACCGACAATGCTCCACTATTTCAAGATCCATTGCCACTGTAATTATCCATGAGAGGTTTTATCCTAAACTTGCAGAAGTTGAACTAAAACCCAGGGATGAATAACAAGAGGCTTGGGGCCATACTGGCAGTCAGGAGCAGAACTTTCAATCTCTAGAGCTGCCTTTGACTATTTGTCAAAAGACCCTGCATGAAGCAGTAAGGTTTGGAGGAAGGATAAAGAGAGGGAGAAAAGCTGTTCCATAGTGAGGAACTCACTGCAAGCCTTCTAGGGAGACATTGCTGCATCTATCACAAAGTTATTATGAATGAGGAATTCACCTCAGTTGCAGTGTTCATAGAATGGGTTGGGTTGGAAGGGACCTTAAAGATCATCTTGTTCCAACCTGCCTTGGGCAGGAACACCTCCCACTACTCCAGGTTGCTCAGAGCCCCATCCAGTGTGGCCTTGAACATTTCCAGGGATTGGGCACCCACAACTTGTCTGGGCAACCTGCTCCAGTGCATCACCACCGTCACAGTAAAGTATTTATTGCTAATATCTAACCCTGTAGTGATGGAACACGCCATGACCTGTGTTCCATCACTACATGCCCTTGCCCTAAGTCCCTCTCCAGCTCTCTTGTAGGCCCCTTGATGTACTGAAAAGCTGTATCCCCAGACCCTTCTCTTCTCCAAGCAGAACAACCCCAACACTCTCAGCTTGTGTTCATAGGATAGAATCCCCTGTGATCAGTCCTTTCCCCTGGCCTTGCCTCTCAGTGGGACAGACCAGCCTTTTGGCTCGTGCTAGTGCAGCCCCCGAAATCTGCAAGGCTGAGGAGAAGTCACTCAGAAAAGAGACATGACCACATCAACAGCCAGGGAGTCACAGCTCCTGCTGAAGATCTCATTTGTCGCTGAGTTTGAACTGGGCAGAAGAGGAGGAAGAGGAGAGGAGAGTGAACACACACTCAGCTAGTACTGCTCAGACCTCATTTCCTCTGCACTGCTGAGCTGGTAGCAGCAGCAGAAGCAACAGCTGAGATTTCAAAAGCAAAAATGCACTATACAATAAAGTTTTACACTGCAGGGTGGCATGGGCAGAGGGCTGGCAGCATCACATATGAGCTTTTCTACAGAATGGAGACAGAGCTCACGTGCTCCAGAAGATCCCCTCTCCTGCAGGAGCATGGGTGGGCTGCCTGGCAGCACGGGCAGACGTGCTGCACACAGCCCAAGTGCAGCCAGCTCTGGGTAGCTGCTGAGTGCTGGGCAACAGAACCCACGTACAGACATGTTAACTCACTGCATCTGTAATGCTTCCCACTGGCTTTTGAGTTTGTGGGAAAGCCAGCATGCCTGGCACCCCAGGACTACCAGCTGTGCTGGGAGGAACATGAGACAAGGGGATGCCCCAAGTCACGACTGAAATGTTCCTGGGAATGGGATGTTTGCTTGTTCTTTTGCTGGAAAAAAAAAATCAAAGCTCTCAGCTTAGGGCATTATGCTTAATGGTGACATCAGTGGAGATGCAAATAAATTTATTTTTCCCTCAGACAAGGTGGAAAAGAGAAAAAGAGGCCAAATCCTTAGAAAAGTTAACAAGAACAAACAAACAAACAAACAAAAGGACCTAAAATCTGATCTGTCTGCTCAGTTCCCCTTCAGTTCAAGGTTGGCATGGTTTGTTCTCTGCTATGTGGGAAGATTTACCTTCTATTAGCAGATGAGCTAATCAGTTCCCCTCAGCTCTTGAAGCTTTATCAAAGCCAGTTAATCATGACATTGATGTCCGCCCATCTCAGAGCTCTCTGCTTCTGTCCCCTGCCAACAAGGCGACACATGTGCACACCACACATGCATAGGGAAATGTTTTTTCCACTTTTAATTCCATCAGCAAGAGGTTATCGCCTATTGTGCCAACATATGGGTGCTGCCCATCTCTCTTTAACCCCCTTTGCCACACTAGTTCCTGGGGAAATGTGGTAGCTCCACCAGCATCACATGAAGGAGCAGGATGCTCTCTACAGGCCAAGTGCACATCTCATTGCTGGCACAGTGGTGGCAACAGTGGGAGGAATTGGTCTTGGCAGGCCCATGTCCTGTGCTGGAAGGCTGCTGAGGCTGAGAGCTATTTGAACCTGGATACCAGGGTGTGCAGTCCAGAATTTTGTCCCTGCCACTGGGTCTGTTTTACTTCTGCACCCAAATTCCACCAGTTGCTGCTCTGTCCTGCTTTTCCTGAGGGTCAGAATGGGGGCTGTTCTTCCCTCTGGAATGGCTCTATCCACACATACACATATCCACCAAGTCAAGAGGACCGCCTTTTCCCACTGAGTTTGTGAGGAGGGCTTCTTCTAACTTCATAACAGTGATGCCAGGACCCAGACATGAAAAGCTCTCTGGGTCCCTTTTTGCTTCCTGTCAGGGTCACTTGAGCTGACAAGTTTTCTTGTGGCCTGGGCTTGGGTGGACACTGCTCAGGGGCACATTTCAAGGTGGCTGGTGCTCACCAGAGTGCTCCAGGAGCTGCTGCAGGTATTGGCAGCTATGTCCCTCCACCCTGCAGACCTACACTGGTCCCAGGGAGACTCTACTGGGGTCAGGCTGCCAGCAGCTGCTGTGCTTTCCAGGCTTGTGCAGTGTGAGCGAGGCAGCTGCATCCTCAAAGAGCTGCTCTGCACCAGCAACCTGACAAGGACCCCAGCCTGGCCCATGATCTGGTTTGGACTTGCAGCTCCAAGGTGGCCCAAAGAAGAGGAAGCCATTCCTGCCTGGCAGAGAGACTGGGCTGGAGAGCCAAAGAGCTGCATGTGGAGAGACCCTGCCATGCCCCGTGTGGGGCAGTCTGTAAATTAGCTATTCCAGGAGGAGAGGAGTTCCTCTAAAGCCTTACACTCTCCAGCCTCCCCCAGACCTCCCCACCCACTTCTTGCTCTGAAGAGACATCTGCTTCCCTCTGGTGTTTTTGCAGGTCCCTCTGCCACCCCAACCAAGGAAACACTCTGGGGCCGCCCAGGTGAGCTGAGAGAAGAGTGAAAAATGGGCCATAAAAGCAAGGAGGAGGAAAAGCTGTGGGCACTCAATCCAAGCCAAACTGCATGGGCTGGCTCTCCATGCCATCCCTCACTCCTCTCCACAGGCGAGTGAGCGGGCGGCCGCAGCCGCGGTGTGAGAGACGATCACCCACCTATACAGACAATGTCCATGAAGCCGTACATTCCATAGCAGATCTGGAAGAGCAGGTCCTGGCGCTGCCACTTGGCTGAAGGACTGAAGGTCGACCAGATGAGCCACGAGATACTGGCGATGAGGAAGAGGGAACCCAGGATGGCGGCTGCTATCTGAACCTTCTCAATGACTGTCAGAGAGATGGCCTGCCACTGCACAGGGAGGGGACAAGAGGGAGGGAGGGAGGAAGGACAAAAGAGAAGAGATTAGTTACTTGGAGCACATCACTGTTTGACACCATTGTGGTGGCTTTGGAGATCTCAACGAGCACCTATGGGCATAGGTGCTTTTACCCCATCCACATCTGGGATGGAGTGTGGCCGTTGTTCCGTAGTGCATGGCCTTGGGTTTCTTGACAGCACTGCCAAAGAGGCAGTGGAAAGGAGTCCTGCATCTCACCAGGAAAGCACAGCAACCTGAGTGAGGTAGGATGGATGAAGGCAAGACACCAAAAATAACATGCTCATGACGGTAGATCTGCCATGGCCATCACAAACCATAAAGTCCAGTTACTCCCTCAAATACAGGCCAGGCAACATCCTCATCCATGGCATCCCAGTACCAAAAGACTAAGTATCTCAAAGAAGCAAGCTTTCTTTGGAAGGCCTCATATGAGCTGGCTCTGAGCCACTTTGTGAGATCTGGCACTGATCACAGCCCTAGGTAGAATCTCACAGTGGCAAAGCACATCCCACAGAACGTGCTACAAAGAACACAAGTTGTTGTGGTCAGGACACCCTGCCTTTAGATGATGACATATTCAGGCTGTGTTCCAAGGTAAATGTCAATGCTTCTTCCTCAGAAAAAGAAAAAAATAGAAATAACTCCTCCAAATCCATTCACTTTGTCAAATAGCTTTGTATAAGCTACGTTATAAATATCCTAAACCCAGACTCCTCTCTGTCATCCAGCATAAAACCTCCCCACTCAGATTTACACTGCTGAGAAAACTGTCCTATAAAACAAAGAGCAGAAATTGGAGTCTTTAACAAGACTTGGGGACATGGTCCATAGCATCTACTGCAAATCAAAAATCAAATGTGTAAACAGGCTGAGGAGAGGCAGTCTCTCCTGGCATTGAAGTATATAGGCCACCTCTAGCTGTGAGATACATGCCCTTGAAATCACAGTGGGACTGGCAGGAGGATAAACAAAGATGGACTTCAACCTCCTGCAGGTACAGAGGATTCAGAGGAGTTGAAAATCTTTAGCCTAGATTCAGTCTGAATTCAGTGTCCCCATGAAGTGACAGTCTTGTGAGATCTCAGTGCTCTGCATGTTGCTCAAACATATCCTAGGACAGCAGCATCACCCAGCAAGCCTTGTCCCATTCTTCTGCAGTGCAAGAAGGGAGTTCACGTACTGGATACCTCTTTAATCTCAGGCCAGCCAGGATTTAGCAATGTTTTTTGCAAGGACTTTTGAACTGAAGGGCAAGAAGGACAAGAAGTGACTTGTGCTGGTACAGGCATGCATGGCACTGCTACCAGTCCAATGATCAAACTCCTGAACCGAATGCACTTCCCTGTAAAGGGCTGCATTTGGAGAGGGACAAATGAGAGCTTCAGCCAGAGGCTGAGGTCTGCGGGTGCCAGCTGAAGGAGATTCCTCTGCCTCTGCCAGCCTTGCTCCCTGGCTTACATCCTGCAAGGGCAGACAGCCCTCAAATTGTCTACCATGGATGTGCAGCACCAGTGAGGTGGGCAGTACCAGCTGATTTGGTAGTTGGCCACAGAAATGGCCACTGAGCTGCTGAGCAGAGAGAGAGCTTGTTCCCCACTGAAGCAGGACTGGGCTCAGTTAAACCCAGTCTTTTCCCTGGGCTCAGTTACTCCAGTCCCCTTCCTGCCATCTGCCCCAGCAGCTGACCCAGGCAAAGGCAAACACTCAGCACTGGGGACACTCAGTAACCTTTTCAGCAGCCCATTCCCACTCTTCCACAGCCTGACCTGCTCCATGCCTCCACCAAATCTATCTGGCCCCTTTGTGCCACTGAGAAGGTGCCACAGTGAACAGCCTGGAAGTCCCAATGCTGCAGGGGTGCTGCAGTCCACAGGAGAGGTGCAATGGTGCAACTCCTCTCCTGACATCAGGCAGAGCAAAGGCCACCCAGCACCCATCACAAATCTGGCTTGTGAAGGTGGGATAAGCAGCACTGCCATCCTCCTATCAGCTCTGCCATCCTTGTTCTCAACAGCACCATAAGCCAATGAAATACAAATTTGCAAGCAATGCCATTAGCCCAGAGCTCCAGGACTAAATTCATGTGGTGGAGAGGAAGATTGGCTATGTGCATTGGGGTTGCAGTTTCACCCCTGCAGCTTTCCCCAGACCTCATCTCCCCTTCCACTGCTTGTGGCTGACTGGGAGGGAATGAGAGCACAGCCTGGTGCTGGGTGCGTAGGCTTTACTGCAGGCCCCTCACACTGACCGTGTGCGCCTGTGCCAGCCAAATCATTCTGCATCATTTCTCTCTCTTGAGGAGGTAATGGACTGGCTCCTCACCATCTGCCTGGCATACTGCAAGGCCTCTGGTAGCAACAGGTCCTTCCAAGGTAGCAATTAGAGGCGAAGCGAAGAGAAAAAGGAACTGTTTTCTACAACTCAAAGCCATGTACAACCAACACCATGGCTTTGCAGAGAAAAGGAGGCTTAGGTGTAGCACTAAATACACTGTCAAAGGGGATGGGGCTCAGAGAACAGAAGAGTTACACCTGAGTGCAAAACCTCAAACCCTGCTCCCCTGGGCTGGGAACAGGGAGGCTGAAACACTGGCAGGGACAGTGCCTGACACTGCTCAGCTGGCAGTGGCTACTGGGAAGTTCACTGTGGTGATAATGAAGAGCCTGGAGTCTGCCAGCTGTGCCAGGGGGTAGGAGGCTCTCCCCCTGCATCTGGCACTAAGTGACAGTGACACACACAGCAGCAGTCCTGACTCTGTTCAGAAGGTGGCACTGGGGTGTGATTTCCCTCTGGCAAGAAGGTAAATGGGTTAAAGCTGAACATTGGGGAAAACAGCCACCATGCAGAAGAATTTAATATTTTTCAGTTAAAAAAAAAAAGAAGAAGAAGAAGTAATAAATGTTGTATTTTCTCTCTGGCAACCCTGAGAACTGCAATTTACTGTCCCAGATCTAGCTTGAGCCACTAATAACTAGAGTGATTATTTTTCATCTTTTAATTCCATTTTGCTACACATTAGTGTATGAGATAGAAGATGTTAGCATGAGACAGAAGATAGAGCTCTTACCCCCATGAGTGCTCAGACAGAAAGGTCCAAGAGCTGTTCAGAGGTGGAATGTGCTGATGAATTTCAGCTGCAGGAGCTGGGCTTGACGTGTCCCTGCACGGGTAGCCTTAGGAGCTCACCTCAATCACAGCACTGTGTCTCTCAGATTTCATAACAGCCCTTAGAAAATCACCCTTTTCCCCCAAGCCCTCTCCACCCTCATTATGTCCAGCAGACCAAGGACTTGGCAGGTGACCCTATCATCCTTGGGTCACCAGTAGAGCTGCTCAGCAACTCTGGAGTCCCTCTACTGGCACATCTGAAACCCCCAAAGCTCTTTGTCTGAATGCCTGGCAGCAGGCACAGCCCCCTCCCTCCAAATCTCCAGCTCAAATGTTCAAGATCTAGCAGGGTCACAGTGTCAAGCAATCCCACCTTGTGGGAAGAGACCTAAAGCTGAGCCCTTCTTCCCTCAGCTGATAATGACTGGAGCTCCTGGTAGCCACTGAGCTGCACTGAAGTGCACCTTTAACAACCCAGCTCACCCAGGCTGTCAGTCAGGGACGTGACCTTTAGGCAGGTAGAAAGCTCTGCTGGTGCTGAACAGGGCAGAACTAAGGACTTGGTGGTACCAAAAAGTTTAAAGGCTCCTACAGGATAACAGGACCAGCTTTGTGAGCTCCAGACTCACAATGGCTTCAGAACATGCGCCAGCAGGTGTCTGTGATGGTCTGCCATCCCCTCTGGAAAAGTGCTCCAACCCTCCAAACCATTCTGGAGAAGCTGTCTGGAGCTGTCTGTCTGTCCTCTGCTACCACCCCCCTGGGCCAAGTGCTTTGGCACACCATCCATGTTTGCAGGTGCAAAACACCACTCTCTCTCAGACCAATTTCCCCAAGTTTCCCCATTTTGCCCAAATTGCAAAGCTCTGCAACCCAGATGCCTCAGAAAGGGCTTCTTAGGAGCTCAGGTCTGACATCTGTGATGACTTTAGTCAGGGTCCAAGCTGGTACTGCTGCCTTTGAGCATGTCACTTACTCTCCTGCACTGTTTCATAACCTGCAAGTTGTACTTGACACAAACCTGTTTCCCTGTTTGCTTCAGTGCTCCTGCTTAGAGGTTTTGTAAGTGAAAACCTGCTAATGTAACACAGATGAATAATGTCATTACTATAGCATTTAATGTCTGATCTGTATTTCCCTTTCTTTGGCACTTGCAGTCTACAAAGGTTCCCAAGCACCAGCACAAGCATATCCAAGGCAGATACTGCCTGCAGAAGATGTCTATGTCTTACTGCAGAGGCTTGAAAAGAAGTCTCATTTGCTGGAAGAGCCTTCCTGCACTCCCCTGAGAGCTCCTCCATGCCTGCCTCAGGCAGTTCAGTTTATTTTTATTGCTGTATCTGACACGTCCCCTTAATACACATCATTAACATCCTGAGCTGTGCTAGTCAGCAATTTAATTCTTAGACCCAGGGTCACAAGCAAGAGGAGGTTTTTCCTAGAAGGTTGGAGAGGATCATTTGCAGCCTAGGTGTGGTTCTCCCCTTGCTGCTGTCCCAAGACCCTGGCCATCCTCCTCAATTATTTTCTGCAGGATGTTTTGTTTTTTTGTTTTGTTTTTTTATAAATTCACCAAGTAAAATTAAGCCACTGCTGTGGAATAGCTTCCCTGCTGTGCACTTTCAGATGATGTGGCTTATTCAGATACTAGAAAAGCAGCAAGGAGGAGGGAGGGCCCAGTAGGGCCATGTAATGGAAACGTGCAATGATGAAAACTCCCCTCCTCCATGTGCCACAGTACCTGGTAAGACTCAGGCTATAGCACCAGCATCCTGGAAAATTCCTGTTATAACACACAGGCCCTGAAGTGTCTCTTGCAGTGACTTGCACCCATTGCTTGCAGGCTGCAGCTGAAGCTCAGCAGGGACCAGCAAAGCTCATGCTCAACACAACTGATTCAGCAGGCTGGGACAACCAGGAGACATCAGTAAACTTGCCTCAAGCTTTTTAGCTCAGCATCTCAGGCTGAAGTTCAAACACCCTGTGAGATCAGCTGTTCTTGCAGTTGTGAGTGTCCTGATGAAGGGGCCGTGTAAGAGCACTCATCAGCTCCTAACAGATCATCACCATGGACAAAATGGAGCCAGAGGAGAACAGAGACCAGACCCCAACCCCAGCACTGGATAACTGGGGATCTTTGGAGCTGAAATAGCCTGCAATGCAGGAAGAGTAGGAGATAACAACTGTAAATCAGAGCTGAACTCATCAAGACTGCAGACAGTTGTTGGGAAGGTTGGTTCAAACAGATTTGCTCTTTGCTAAAATCAGAGCATCAGAGTGGATGTGGTTCAGGACTGACTACAAAGGAGGTGTACAGATTAAATACACTTCAGAGGCCCATCAAGGCAGATACCCACTCCACAATGTATCAGCACCAGGATGCAGGCAGTATGATAATGTGCTTCCAAACTCCTGTGCCTTCAGGGCCTTTTAAAAATCATGGGCTTTGCACAAGTATTACAATGGAGGGAAGCATTTAAAGCCTCCAAGCCCATGACTCCTGTCTTGGTGACTGGCAAACTGGAGAGCAGGAGAATGGATTGGTGGATGGATGGCTGGATGGATGGGTAGAGGGATGGATGGATGGATGGGAGGGATGGATGGATGGATGGGAGGGATGGATGGATGGATGGGAGGGATGGATGGATGGATGGGAGGGATGGATGGATGGATGGGAGGGATGGATGGATGGATGGGAGGGATGGATGGATGGATGGGAGGGATGGATGGATGGATGGGAGGGATGGATGGATGGACGGACAGACCAAAGCTCTGGATTTCCTGGTTGTTCACAGCTGATGGAATATTTTTGCTCATTCGCTGCCCAACTGCTGCTTGGCAGGACACCTGCTATGTTGTCCAACAACTAATCCCCCAGTCTCAGCAGGTTAGCAGTATTGCTGCTTTAAGACCTTTGCTCTTAAATGCCTGCAACCCAGGGAGCAGAGAGTGGGGTGGGTTAATTTATAGAGATTAATTCTGCCAAAACAGAAGACTAAAGGTCTCTCTCTGGTATGAAACATCATAATAGCCTGGAGGCTGGAAGGAGACTGTGTTAATTATGCATGAACCCGACTGTAACTTCTCTGCCCACACCATGAGTCTCCAGACACATCTGGCCCATGCTGTGCTTCTAAGCACTCCAAAAAATGTGCAGCAGATGTCAAAATGGGCAGAGAAACATGCAGGTCCCAGGGAACATGTGGGTGTTGGATGCTGCTCTGCTCAGACCAATTGGACATGCTTCAAGGAGCCCAGGGTCTGCCAGCTGCCTGGATTTGGCTTCCCAGCAGTCTATCAAGTCTATCAGATACAGGACTCAGAAGAGAGGTAGGCCATGTTGCTGGTTAGAATCTAGCCAGGCTCAGAGCATCATCCAAATAGGTTATATTGGACAAGGACATGAGGTTTGTGTGGTCCTTGCCTGTATTATGGTTGGTCTGGAAAAAACAGATGACCATGACTTCCTCCAGCATTTGTCCTCTGAAAACTGTTTGAGAAATTCAGAGATTTCTGGTAAGAATAAAGCTGGGCCCAAGTTCCAGCAGACCCTGAGAAGAAAGTTCAGGGACTTTGAGATATGCTTGTATGTCCAGCTGGGCCATTTTATTCACATGTGGGGTGCAGGCCAAGCAGAAAGGATGCTCCTCCCACCTGCACATGCTGTGACTTGTTTTGGGGAGGGGGGCAAGCCCTTAGTACTGGTAGGAAGTCCTGGCCTGCTGCATCAGCCACTTCCCAGAGGATTTTGCATATTAATGCCAGGGTAGCATCTGCTTCCCAGCAGTGCCTTTGTGCTGGCACCAGACAGGGCACCCAGGCATGCAGCTGTAGCTCTACACACTGCATTTATTCCAGGCCAAGTGGCTTTTCACTCCAGTTGCTTCTTCCCATCCTCCAAATTTCCCAGTGCTTCTGTGAGAAATGCTGTGAAGTCTAAGCCAGCAATCTGAAGGCTGCAAGCCCCAGATCTGCACAGTCCTCTGGGACCCTTGCTCCTGGAGCTGAGCCCTCTAACTCAGCTGTTTCTGCCACTCAGATTTTTGTGTTTGTGGCAAAGGCCATCAGATCAGGCCACCTTCTGACAGGGGAGCCCAGAGAGAGAGAAGCTTTGCACAGGCTCTGAAATTTTTGTGTATGAGGCGGAAGCCTGTCTATGAGCAGCTCCAACAAATTTTAGCTGAGTGAGGAACAGGAAGAAAGTCATTTACCCATTGCCCTGAGCCACCTGAAAGTGCATTTGGAAGTCACTCATTAAAGGTGGTTCTGGGGACACAAAGGCTCACAAATTTGAACTCACAAACTTCAGTGCTGCTCAGCATCACAACCCCAATCTGAGACACAGGAAGCATTAGGGCATTCATGGAGCAGCTTTCCAGAAATAAAAAAAAGCTGCTTTGTCCACATCTCCCCTCCTGTGTTTCAATCTGCTCTGAGTTGCTAGAGCCAAAAAATTAAAACACTCTGGGTCTGATGCTTGGGATGAAACTACTGATGTGTCCAGCCCATGGCTCATGGAAAATTGAATCAGAAGCTGTAGGGACTCTCAGAGAACAGGCAGGTTTTTCCTTCCCCTCAGCAAAGTTTCCCCATGATGTTCCTCCTAATTTCACTACTTCATTTAAGTCTGGAGTCCTAATGGGCTGTCCCTTTTTCCTCAATGTGGTAAGTGACCTCAGGCCTAGAAAAAACCACACAGAGATCACAGTTTGAAAGAGAGCAGGAGTTTACATTCCCCCACTCCCCTGTACAACTGAGCACCATCACCAGCCCTGTCTTTGCCTCCTGGTAGAGAGTGACCCACAGAAGGCCAGATGCTGGACAGACCAAAATCCCTACAGACATGACCCTGGTCTCTAAACCACTGTAATGCCTCTCCAATCCAGATGATGATGATTAAGCAAAAGTGCCTGGCTGTAATGTGCTTCCTTATTGCTGAGGCACTAATGATGCTCAGCAAAGGCATGGAGCAATTAATGCATCTTCAGGCATTGCCCCCGCAATAAATCAATAGCTTTTAAGGATAATTTATCCCATTTTTAATAGTCACACAGGTTTCCCCATTATGAATCCTGATTTTAAATCACCAGTCTGTACTTTGACTTATTCACTACAATGCTTTTCAGATAAGAAAGAATGTGGGTCCTTGGATGACTTTCACAGACCCATCAAATGTGCTTTACCTGTTGTGTGCACATCTGCAAAAGTCCATCAAGAATCAGGCTTGAAGAGACCAGAGTATCAGTATGGCCACTGCCATGCCATGATTGTGTGAGAGCAGTAAAGTGAAAAAGGGGGTGAGATTAGAGAGGAGAGCTCTAAGAACTCTCCATCTGCCTCCACCATCCCTCACGCCAACACAGCGGAGTCTCAGCAGGAGGAGATCAGGATTAATGGCACAACTATAAACACATGGTGTCTCGACTGCTCAGTCACAGACTGTGTGCTCTGTTGCAGTAAATCCCACAATGGTGCAGTCCTTGCCTGGCCCTGGAGACAGGCACACCTGGGGTCTCCAGTGGATGAACACATTTGAATGGCTGTGAGGTGTTATAGCATTGTTGTGGAATTTTCAACAGAAGGCAAGTGAATATAGGAATCGCCAAGGACAGAAAGAGCAGACTCCTGAGGGATGCTCCCAGAACCACAGAGCAGAACATGGGGCCTCTTTGGACCAGCCCCTGGCAATCCTTTCTAAGTACCTCAGACATATGAATCCCTGTGCACAGGGAAGGAAAACCCACACTGGTAAAATCCGCTTGCTCCCAGAAACAAAAACTGAAACAAGAATAAATAGACTTTGAAATGTCTCTAGTACCTTTACCTGCAGAGGGTTCTTTGTGCTTATGGCAATGACGTGATACTTGTAGTAACACAGCTCACAGCTCCAGCAGCCTCTCTCGCTAATCCATTTGATCAGACATGGCTGGTGCGTGCACTTCACAGATCCATCGCATCGACACGGGCTCAGCAACTCCCCCTGAAACAGACAGACAGCATCAGCGAGGCTCCCCTCCTTCCACAGCACAGCACACGTGGCACGGCATGGCAGAAGCTCCCTTAGCCACCATTTGAACTTTCTTCCTTTTTTCCCTGGCTTGGCTCAGGCAATTATGCTGCTTCCGTCCCTTTTCCCTCTAATAATGCTTGGCTGATTGAACTGAAACTGTCAGGGATGTAACGGTCTCAGATACTGGGATCTTACATGCCTTGTCACCACTGAAGGAAAAGCTGGACAAGCACAACTCTTACCACTCCAGAGGACCCACACTGACCCCAACCAGTGGACACACCTCTGTTGGCAACCAGATGCCACAGGTTCATTGTTCAGGTTTTTGTCTCTCTGCTACGTATTTTAGAAAGTGAGGTTGGTGGTGGTGATAAATTGTGAGACAGCTTCTGCTGCAGACTGATGTCCTACTCAGACCCAAGTAGCTTCCTCAAGCCAAGGCATGCAAAACGTCCTCAAATTTCTCTCCCACACCATCCACCATCCCAGACAGTCATACTGGTAAACTACAGGGCTGGCTATTTGCACCCTAGAAGCAAGCAAGATGGAGAACAAATTGTGTTTTGGCTTGTGACCCAGACAGTTATGAGTGGTGGCTGAAACTCTGAACCTCCTGGCTCATTCCCTTGTTTCTGTGCAGCTTTAACAGGGTATCCACGAAAACCCCATATTATTCTGATCTATCTGTTATCATCCTGTTCACCATGAGACTGAATTTCTCTGTGCACACAAGCTCAGGAGCCCTTTACAGTTGTTTGCCATCATTTATTTAGGTTAGTAGAGAGCCATTACATTTTCCTCCTCACTGTTTAGTGTTTAAAAGCCATAGTATAGATTCCAGTAGCCTTTTTTGCTGTGCTCCAAGATTAAAAATCTTTTAAAGGCAGAATAAGAATATCTATGGGACAGGAAAGGCTGGATCATACTTTCAGCACTGGGGAGAAGATATCTGCTCTTACAGCCCAGATCAGACTCATCACTAGCCTGACAGAGAACCAGGATAACAGACCCTGGCACTGGACACTGCTGGGTATGGTAAAAGACATCCATTCCACTGCCTTGGGTTACGAACCACATCCTGCTCTTGCTAACCCTGGGGGGAAACTGTCTCACCTTCTAGGTCACTACATCAGGTCTCAGGACCTGAGAAACTGAGGGCCACACTGGGCAAGAGTGATACTTCTTTTTTACAAAACCTAATGCAAACATGTTAATAGTTTCATTTGTTTCAGCTAGGTCACCTAAAAATGTCATCTTTCATGAAAATTTAGCAAAATGTAAATAACTGTTTATGTTACAAACCCAGACTTGGTCTGTTACTGGTCTTCATTACGAATCGGAGGGGATACAAAGGGAGAGGGGGAGCAAGGAGGGTTGTAGGTTCCATGAACCTTTTTCACCTGGCAAGGGGTAACATGACAAACCAGAAGAAAGGAAGTAGGGAAGGATTAGATGGGAGAAAGGTGCACGTGGGAATGAGCACTGACATTTGGCACTCAAACTCCCACGTGAGGTCCAATTTGAGGGGGCTCAGGTTTGGCTGTGCATGTTTGTGCCCTTGGCTAAGACTGAGGGGGGACATTGCCAGAAGAGCAGGTGCTGCCAGACAGGATGCAAAAGGGGAGGGACCAGAACTTGGCACAACTCCTCTGCTTCCCCACTTGCCAAACCTCTTCCACACCAAGAGCCAGCCTGGTACAAGGACCACTGCACTGTGCCTCTGGTCTTCCCTTCTCATCTCAGTCCCTGGTGCCTTATTTTGTCAACAGCTTTGCTCCTCAGCACACAAGTGTGGCCCTGGCAGTAAGGAGGTCATGCAGAATCCTCCCAGATCTGCAGCATCCCTGCCTTTCCACCTCACTGCACACCTGGGTCTCTTGCAGGGCTCAAAACAGTGAGTGCAGGACCTGGGCTTTGTCTAACGAGCAGCTGGAGGCATCAATAATGAGGGATCAGGAGAGGAGCAGAATCGAGCAGGAACTAAGAGCAACAACCTCCAGGCAAAGGCAGAGGGGAAAAGCTGCAGCTAAGCCTAGACTTGCATTGGCTTCTGGGGCTCTGTAATAAATGAGTCCATGAAATCTGAGCTTCTCTCTTCAGAGCCAAGAGATGTTCACAGATGTCCTACAGCACCATGGGGACCCAGTCTCCCTCTCTAACTGTGATGCTCAAACACACAGTCCTGCCAGCTCCTACAACCTCAGGATTCAGCTGTGGAGATGAATCTGCCAGTAACTTGATTTTAGCAGATCTAGCAAAAACTCAATTTATCACATTTTCTCCAGCCGTCTGAAATATTACATCCTTGTATGTGGCACACAGCTATTTTTGCATACTGTGAAGCCCAATTCTATCCACAGCAGGCATTTGTAAAACACTGCCACATGCACACATGTGCACATGCACTCCTGTACCAGCAGAAAAACAAACACCAGGGGCATATTAAAGGAATAAATCCTTTGTACAGCAAAGGAGGAGTCTCATTGCTGGCTGTACAGAGAGCTCAGGAACAGACCATTGGCTGTGATACACAGGAAGGTTTTGCTGTACAGAGTCCTCTGCTGCTAAAAGCTACAGGAACACAAAAGCAAACCCAAAGTGAGACAAAAAATCACAACAATTAGAGATGGAAATTAAATCCCTAGCACCCATTTTTGCAGATTTATAGAAGATACTGCACAACATATTCTCCAGTGCTCAAACAGCAGCATTCCCACGAAATCCCTTTGGGGACTGCTCTGCAAAAACCCTTTGAAGGGTCTGTTTCCCTACTTCACAACAGTTATTTTTGCAACTTCCCATTGTGGAGTTCTATCCCGTCACTGGGATGAGTCTAAGCAGCATTCTTCCTTTGTCAGTAACTAGTGGAGAAATGCTCCCCAGCTGCAAGCTTCGTCCTCAGTTCGCTCACTACCATCTTGTTCTTGTGAAACACTGAAGTGTGCTAGTGTGCTTTGGAGTCAGGGCACCTGCCTTTTTTTTTTTTTTTTTTTGGTGTTTTTTTGGGTTTTTTTTCTGTTATCCAAGTTTTTTTTTTTTTGGTGGTTTTTTGGTTTGTTTTTTTTGTTATCCAAGGCTAAATTAGAAAAAAACAGAGTTAACAAAAAGGGAAAAGTGCTCTGGCTCAGCCACAACCATTTCAAACATATTCATGAAATGCTCTTCCCTACTTCTGGCAAGAGTAATATACTAAGCAATTACATATATAATATTCTTCCCTATTCTTACTTTGATGGAAGCTTGTCTCAAGGAGCAGCAAGGGCAAGGCCAGGTTGAACTGGCTGTACCCTGAGGAGGACAACACTGCTGGAGATACACCAGTAGTGCAGCTCTGCTCCAGCTCTGTCCTTTCTGTCTGAATTTCCAATCTGTACCTGCTGCAAAATGTCAAAGTGGTTAATGATTATCTGGCCCCTGCTATTTAAAGCCTACTGGCAGGAGTGCTGAGAAAGGATGGGGAAAAAAAAAATTATTGCCAGTGCGTGCTTGTGGTGCTCGGTATATCCAGGGAGAAAATAACCACGTCAGGAGCAGCGTCACCCCTGTGGAGCAGTGGTGGCAGAGTTTTCCTGGCTTTTATCTGTCATTTATCAGTGCTGGGAGCCCATCCGCACATCCGCAGCTGCAGCTGCTCACCCACCAGCAGGCAGATATGGGATGTGTTTCCCAGGCCTGTTCTTTTAACTGCAAATTAAGCACAGCAAATTTCCCAGCCAGTCTCCTTTAAACAGGGCAGGGCTGGGGATGATGGTGTCACTGGGCCAGGATGTGGCTGGTCTCCTGGGCTGGCCCAGCTGTGCTCACCTATGTCTGGTGCCTGGGCTGCTCCTGAGCACCAGCCCAGCTGGCAAGAGCCACGTTACCAACATCCTACTACCACAACCATTAAAGCAAACATTTTGAAAGCCAGTGAAAGCTATACAGAAAACCAAGATAGCTGATGATGATCTTAAGACCTGCAGATTTTCCTTTACCTGTGCATTATTCCTGCTCAGGTATGCAAAGTAGCAGAAGCATCAGTAAGAGGAACAGTGCCTGGGCCAGAGCAGGTCAATGAGAAGACACTGGAGTAGCTGCCCCATCACAAGGGCTGCCATCTCTCTTTGGGGGTGTACATGCAGCTGCTGCTGCTCCCAGATCTGCATGTGTTCATCTGACTGCTGGCATTTATCTGAGTTTGTCTTGTTTGCAAAAGGAAGTCAGGGTCATTTAATTTCAGGTCTTCAGCTGCATCTCCTAAATATACTTAAATCTTCACATTGAGTTTAAATGCAATAGGAAGCTTTATTACGGCAAATAAATGCCAAATGATTTCTGTATTAGGAACATAATTACAGACAAATTAAGTAAAATGGCAAAGAGAAGCCCATTGTTACACAGCTGGTAAACTTCAATAAACATGTACTAATGACCACTCTGTCTTCACACACTTACAAGAGTTGCCCTTCTATCCTTTTGAACTAAACATGTTGAACTAAGCATCTCAAATTCTTCCCCATGCATGCAAGCCCTGTGCCAGCCAGCAATAGGCAACAAGAGACATGGAATAGGTATCCATGTGTACGTGTGTGTATATGTATTTATTACATTGCATTAATTTCTCCAGCACTGGGGGAAATTGACACAGAGTGTGGACCCAGAGAGGAGTGGACCTAGGTCTCCTGTGGTGTCAGGACAGCACAGGACATGGTTATGTATGGTGCTCTGGTGAGATGGCATTTTCCCAGGAACCTCAGCAGAGTAGGGTGCTGATCCCAATCTCCATCTTGGCAGAAATCTGCTGAGAGACTTTTCTTGACGCAGCTGGGGGAATTCCCCAACTGGGCACCTCCCTAACATCTGGAGAGCCTATAGGAAAATCTATGCAAATGATTAGAAAAAGAAATCATCCAGACTGCCATCTCTGTGACCAGAATTGGCTCATCCCACAGCTCCCCAGCAAGACCTGATATCCCTGTGCCATGCGGAGA